CCCCCCTCCTCCTCCCTCCTCCTCTTCTTCTTCTTCTCCCCCCCCCCATTGGAGTGTAACGTGAGCACTCTCTTTTCCAACTTCATGGCCTTGGAGAAGATATTCTTTTGGAGCACAGCAAACCATTGTACTTGGCCGAAAGCTAGATTGCAGTCCCGCAGCACCCTAGAGACCGAGAGGATTTTCAGGGGATGAGCTTCTGTGCGTCGGAGCTCCCTTCGTCAGATACAAGGGGGACAGAGGGAGCACCGACTCTCGTTCCCTGAAAATGCCGTCGACTTCTAAGGTGCTGCCGGGCTTGAATCGAGTTCTTCTACAGCAGACTGACACGGCTGCCCTGGGAAACCGGGAGAACCTTAGGGACCGATGAGATTTGGGGGGGGGGGTCCTAAGCTTCCGAGCTTTCAGGGTAGAAGCTTTGAAGAGTCAAAGGAGCTTCCCTGCTGGACTCAAACCGAGCTCTTCGACTGCAGACCGACACGACGACCCCCTGAAACTGTACTTAGACAATTAGCTCTTCATCCTGCCCTCATGTGAAGTCCACCGCTTTCCCCTTTCTTGGCACAATAAAGCTCGGGCAACTCCACATTGTTGGCGCGTGCATCCAGTCCCGGTGCCCTCTTGCCTCGCATGGTGGGAAGGGCAGCAAGACTGATGCTTTGGCTCACTTCCAAGCATCTGCTGGTGCTTCCTATCCCCTTTGAATCCTGCCCTTCTGCAGGATCTGCGGTCCCTCTCTGATTTGAACACATGTAACCTCAACAGCATGATAAAAAGTAGAGACATCACCCCGCCAACAAAAGTCCGCATGGGCAAAGCAATGGTATTCCCAGTAGTCATGTATGGCGGCGAGAGTTGGACTATAAGGAAGGCCGAGCGCCGAAGAATAGATTCTTTTGAACTATGGTGCTGGAGAAGACTCTTGAGAGTCCCTTGGACTGCAAGGAGATCCAATCCTAAAAGAAATCCACCCTGACTGTTCCCTGGAAGGCCAGATAATGGAACTGAAGCTCAAATACTTTGGCCACCCAATGAGAAGGGAGCACTTCCTGGAGAAGACCCTGATGCTGGGAAAGACTGAAGGTCAAAGAAGACGGGGACGGCAAAGGATGAGATGGTTAGACAGTGTCATAGATGCAACGAACATGAAACTGAGCCAACTTCAGAGGACGGCGGAAGACCGGAAGGCCTGGCGGGATCTGGTCCATGGGGTCGCGAAGAGTCAGACTCGACTGTGCGACTGAACAACCAAAGCTGCCTTTTACCGAATCAGACCACTGATCCCTCACGGTCAGTATTGTCTCCTCCAGGGGTCCCCAACACGGTCCCCCCACCAAGACCTTTCTTTTAGAAAGCAGGCAGGCTAGAAGGGGCTTTTGCAGATCAGGGCTGTGCAGATAAAAAGGTATCCCGTTCATCAGAGCCCCTACCTGAAATGTTGAAGAGGTCCTATTAGAATTGTATATGACTTCTCTCCAGTTTTCCCTCTAAGCTGAGTCAGGGTGAGCCGGCTCACAGTTTTTTAGCCTCCAGCTCACACATTTTTCTCTCAGCTCAGGAAGGGTGGCTCCAGAGCCAACTAATTGATGCAGGAGCCAAATTGTCCGCTCACAACTTTAACGCCAGTAGCTCACAAAGTAGAACTTTTGCTCACAAGACTCCACAACTTAGAGGGAACCTTGCAAGTTCTCTCCCCGACATTTTGTGAGCGGCTCCACCAGATTGACTCCACCGGTGGCCAGTTTGGTGTAGTGGTGAAGTGCACGGACTCTAATCTGGGCGAACCGGGCTTGATCTCTCCGCTTTCCCCGCTCCTCCACATGCAGCTGCTGGGTGACCTTGGGCAAACCACAGTTCTCTCAGAGCTGTTCTCTCAAGAGCACAGGGTGTCTGTTGTGCGGAGAGGAAGGGAAGGAGATTGTAAGCCGCTCTGAGACTCTGAGTGAAGAGCGGGGACATTCAATCTCCTCCTTTGCCAGGAATTTTGTGCCCACCACCCTGTGTCAGAACCCCAAATATGCCCGGCAGACTCTTAAAGGTTGGGGACCCCTGGTCCTCTCAGACCGGCAGCTGCTCTCCCAGGTCTCAGGCTGAGGTCTTTCACATCACCTGCTACCCAATCCTTTTAAACTGGCATTAGGATTATAAATCTGACTGGATTTTTGGTAGATTTGCAACCAGATCATATGGCTTTTTTTGTTTTTACCATGATGTTAAAAAGGTAAAGGTTCCCTTGCTCGAAAGCCAGTCGAATCCGACTCTAGGGCTGCGGTGCTCATCTCCGTTTCCAAGCCGAAGAGCCAGCGCTGTCCGAAGACGTTTCCGTGGTCATGTGGCTGGCATGACTAAAGACCAAGGCGCACGGAACGCTGTTCCAAGTGGTACCTATTTATCTACTTGCAATGTCTTGCTTTCGAACTGCTAGGTTGGCAGGAGCTGGAACGAGAGACGGGAGCGCACTCCGTCATGCGGCACACTCGGGTCTCAAACTGCTGAACTACCGGCCTTGAGCCAGCCACCGCAGCATGATGTTAACTGTTATTCAAATGTTTTCCAAGATGTTTACTGTACAACTAGTGTACACCACTGTGAGCTGCAGAAAAGCAGGATATAAATTTTCAAATCAGTCACACTTTCTTGGCTGCCACGGGCACCCCTGACTCTGGTGCAGCCAGTATATTGACGCACCGATAGCGTGGAAAAGGTTCTGGCCCTTTAGAAGAAGAGGAAGGAATTGGATTCATACCCCACCCTTCACTCGAAGTCTCAGAGTGGCTTACAAACTCCTTTCCCTTCCCCTCCCCACAACAGACATCCTGGGAGGTAGGTGGGGCTGAGAGAGCTCTTTCGAGGACTGCTCTTGAGAGAACAGCTCTGAGAGAACTTGTGACTGACTCAAGGTCACCGAGCAGGTGCATGTGGAGGAATGGGGAATCAAACCCGGTTCTCCCAGATTAGAGTCCGCGCACTTAACCACGACACCAAACTGGCTTTAAGCAGCTGCTGTCTTCTGGAATTTCCCAAATTTCGGCAGTCGTTCTCTTGGGGATGTTTTAAAAACGGCATCACAGCCTAAAGGGATGGGAGGGCGTAGTGGTCACCTTCTGCCTCCCTTCCGTCCCTGGAAGGTCCCAAGGGAGGAAGGATGAGCGTTTGGGTGACTTTTGTGATTTCCGGGATACAATGGAAATCCCATTAATCTTCTAGGGGAAGCCCTCGCCGTCTCCGTTCCCTTCTCTCCTGGGTGGGCCTCCTTTTGCATGGAGATACCAGGCCGGCCTTTTGGAGGGCGAGAGGCAGGAAGGGTGGTGAGCTTTAGGCAGGCAATGAAGGGAGCCGCCTGATTGCAAGAAGAAAGGGAGAAATCAAAGGTTTCGTTTCCCTGGCGGCATCGTTATGCCTTTACAGAAGCAAAAAGGGCCGGGATTTGTCTGGCTTCCTTACCCCCTGCCCTGACCTGGACAGCCCAGCGTAGCCTGCTCGCATCAGATCTTGGAAACTACGCAGGGCCGGCCCTGGTTAGTGCTTGGGTGGGAGACTGCCGAGAAAGCCCCGGGTCAGTCGCTGTGCAGAGGTAGACAACAACCAATCGCCTCTGCTTCTCTCTCGCCTTGAAAGCCTGATGTGGTCGACGTGCGTCTGCTGCGACTTGATGGCACTTTCTACCGCCAGTTATCCCCTGCTCGAAGGGCAGGGGTGCCAACCAAGCCTCCCTCTAAGCTGTGGAGTCCTGTGAGCAAAAATCCCACTTTGTGAGCTACCAGCATTGAAGTTGTGAGCGAGCCGATTGGGCTGCTGCAGAAATCGGTTTGCTCTGGAGCCCTCCTTCCTGAGCGAAGACAAAAATGTCTGAGCCGGAGGCTAAAAAACTGAGCTGGCTCACACTAACTCAGCTTAGAGGGAGTTTTGTGTCAGCTGTGGAGTTTTGTGAGCAAAAATTCTACTTTGTGAGCTCCTGGCATGAAAGTTGTCAGAGACTGATTTGGCTGCTGCATAAATTAGTTTGCTCTGGAGCCATTCCTTCCTGAGCAAAGACAAAAAGGTATGAGCTGGAGGCTAAAAAACGGTGAGGTAGCTCACAGTAACTCATCTTAGAGGGAACAATGGTCTTAATGCTCCCTCTAAGCTGTTGGAGTCCTGTGAGCAAAAATTCTACTTCATGAGCTACTGGCGTTGAAGTTGTGAGCGAGCCGATTTGGCTGCTGCATAAATCAGTTTGCCCTGGAGCCCTCCTTCCTGCGCTAAGACAAAAATGTGTGAGCCGGAGGCTAAAAAACTGTGAGCTCGCTCACACTAACACAGCTTAGAGGGAACACTGTGAGCTACCGGCATTAAAGTTGTGAGCGAACAATTTGGCTGCTGCATAAAAAACTGTGAGCTAGCTCACATTAACTCAGCTTAGAGGGAACACTGAGCTACCGGCATTAAAGTTGTGAGCGAGCAATTTGGCTGCTGCATAAATCAGTTTGCTCTCTGGAGCCCTCCTTCCTGAGCGAAGACAAAAAGGTGCGAGCTGGAGGCTAAAAAACTGTGAGGTAGCTCACACTAACTCAGCTTAGAGGGAACACTGGTCTCAGTGCTCCCTCTGAGCTGTGGAGT